CTGGCGGTACATTCAGACCTCCACCCATCTTGTGCTCTGAACAGGTGCTCTTACCCTGACAACGCACTCCATCCGCAGGGAAACATCTACCGACCATCCTAAGATACTCATTTATGAACTGTTCTCCGCACAAAATCATTCCATTTGCTGATAAATGGCAAATGGTGCTGACAAATTACCTGCTGCCCTCTAACAGAAACTGGTGGTGACCCAGGTCACTTCAGAAACTCTAACAGCTTTTCTTAAGGAATGATTAATTGGAAAACAATACTAAAGAGGCAGTAAGTGCTATTACTAAATTCACTCTGTTGTCATCATTAGGAGAGTCAACTTTCCTGTCCTGTACTAATTAGATCAGTTAGCAGAAGCTCAGAAAGAGGAAAGTTAACCAAGTCTATCTGGAGCATCCCAGGGACAGACGGAGACAGCCAGAAGGGATTTCTGAGTACTCATTGTCTATGAAATTTTGGAATCCCCTTAAACCAGCCATTCAAGTTAGGTCAAGACATAATCTTTCCACTCCCTCCAGCAAAGTACAAAGCCCTTTGTCAAGGAGCTTTCAACTCAGGCCAAATCAGCAAGTTTGTCTTGTTTTGCCAATGCAGTAACGCTGATCTTCTGCATCTCCTGAGAGAAGGTAAGACTTCCCCTCGCACGTGATTCTGCTCCTCATTCAAAGTCAGGGCATTTCAGTGCTGATAAAGATGAAATTTAGATTCTCCGACCTTTTTCTGTTAACAGGCACTATGAGTATAAAAATAACTTGTTGGGCCAATTTATGCTATAATAATATCCTCTGGGACAAAATAGCTTCCTCTGACCTGTAATTACTAGAATGACACCTGCCTGAGTAAGTCCACCCCTGGTTCATGCCTTCCGTGGTTACCAATACATAAAGTCTGTGAGCCTACCAAAGAGACCGTTGTTTATCCTAGATTAAATCCAGCATTAAAGTCTTGCTGCTGTAAGCATAGTGCATTTAACACGATTGACTGTCTTGCACCACGTTGCCTTGGAAACCAGCAGACAAAAATCAGACAGATGACACATAGTCCTTTTCCTTGGGGGAAAGATTCCCTCCTCTACCATCCACAGAGTATTGCCCAAGAAAGCTCCAGAAGGAAAGATCAGATGCAACCTGCAAACTCTCCTCTATCTTACCTAGAAACCAAAGACTGAGTAGACTGAGACCTCTATTTCCTTTCACAAACACCGTAATAGTTACGGACTGAGATCAGACTCTGCGCTGAGAATGTGCACGACGGGACACAAGCACGTGCTACAGCGCGGACATGACCGGTGTCCATCAGCCTAGGGAAGCACCTGCACCGTGGGGCTGCACCCTCCCCTGCTCACGCTCTGCCGAAGGAGCAGCGCAGAGACGGCTGCACCTCGTACTAGCGAGGCACACGGCCGTCATGGGTGACCCTGTGGCCTGCGTGACTCCCGGCTCAGAGAAAGGGGGACACACAACGCCTGACCATCTGTATTTTTCCTGCCCACCGACCACATCGGCAGCACAGGCTGCAGCTCAGGATCACACCACCCAAACACCTCCACAAGATGCGGCGATTTTCAGTGTGTGCTCAAAGGCTTCTAGCGGGGGTGTTGCAAGAGCAGTGAAGGAACCCTTCAGAGCAGCAAGGCAAACACCCCCTATGCAAGCAAGTACTATCATTAACAAACTTATTTACAGTACTCAGCTGTGAATTTAAATTTAAATGAGTCATCAACACAAGACATCCCTTCAAAAAAGGAACTTCCGACTGGAGTGCCACCAGCACAGCGACTATCCCCATGTTCTCACACAGTCCCAGCAGAGCAGAACGGGAAGTTCACTAACCCAAGCAGCGACCATTCCTCCCTAGCAGCACCTTTTGGCTGTGGTCAACGGAGCCTAAAGGTCCACACTGCGAGCTGAACTAACTGCTCTCTGGATATCTGAGGCATGTTAAGGCATCAAAAAAGCATCATTTTTCTTCTCTCTACTGGAGCTGGGTTGAAGACAGGAGTCAAATTCAAACAGTTGGTTTTTATTCCGTAGTTCTACAGAATACTCCTCCCACTAGGGCTGTCATAGTGTACATGAAAAACATTATTCAGTCACTCAGAACACTGCCTTTGTAGTCCGGTTTTTGTTTTGGTTTCTTTTTTTGTTTTGTTTTTTAACCTGTAGAAAGTAAACAATCATGTCAGGGAAAAATTAAAAGCAATGAATCTGGCTGGTCATATTTCTATCAAACAGCAGGAGTCATACACTTTTGCTTCAAAGTATTCACCCACAAACACCTCCTCAACAACTGCAAAAAGGCATCAAGGAGATCCAACTGCAGAGGAGTTGAGCACTTACCTAGTTACAGGCCCCCCTTCATCATTTGTACCAAAGACCATCTTGACAGTACATTGACAGTTGCGTACCATTACAGTAGTCAGCAGGATCAAATATTTCAACTTCCCAAATCAAGAAATGAAATTAATCTAAAAATATTTTAATGTAGCAAGTTTGGCTATAAAACCAGTGCAACATAAATAGGACACCCATTGGATAACCAACTTTACTGCTTAATCTTAACAGAGTACGCTACAGATGCAACGGATTTACCACAAGTTATTTGGTTAAATTAAATATTGCAGTTAGAATCATGCTGTTGGTAATTGTGGCTTTACAGTACCAATGCTCAAGTTGGCTGAGTTAGTTTTACTGTAAGTAAAATGCAAGTTTACAGAGAAACAAAATAATTCAGTATAGTACGCTGTGTTCTGTTTCATGCTCAGTCACAATGATAGTGTCTTCCAACAGGTAAACAGTATTTCAGCATTATGTTAATAATGCCAAAACATACAGGAATTTTAATGCCAGATTTACAACATAATACAGTGCTTAACAAACAGATTTCTCAGGTATGGTGGCCAAGTGAGAATGCTACACAGGACTGAGAAGCATCCAAGCACTACTCGGTGCATACAAAGTGAACCATGGTGACAGGAATGCTTTACCTTTGGATGGAATTATTGTTTAGAAGTTTGTGTCCCAAACATCACGCAATGTAAAATGAATGTTGAACCCTTGCCTCAAAAAAGAAGCAAAAGCACTACACGTTATTTACAAACTTGAACCAGTCAAACCACTTTAAGAACAGAAAAAAAATTGGGATCGCCTGACAAAGATGACAGAGCTTGATAAATCCATTACGTGAACTAGAACTGTAATGAAGTTGTAAACAAACTTTAACCAATTAGGTTAACGCATCTGTTCTTGAACTCAAGAATATTGTCATTTCAGCAAACGGTGCTTTTTAAAGCTAAGGACACTATCAGAGGTTTTATTTTTGTTTAAAGCCAAAACTGATAAAAACTTGGAAGCTGGCAAATCATTTTTGTTCCCTATTGGCTTTCATTAACTTCTCCACTGCGTGCTTCAGCGAAATTTTCAAAACCCCTGTTTCTTATCTAATCTGCTTCAACTTAAGTAGCTGGTAGCAAAGTTGAAGCAAACACTATCAACATGTAAAAAATCTCGACTCAGAGTGGTTTGGTTTTCCACTCTTGGGGATGAGATTAGCCTGCTGGCACTGTTCTACACAGAAAACAAAACACTAAAGCATTCATTTTTAGTTTTAAAAGAAAAACTTCCTCAATTATTAAATTAATAGGCTTCGCAAATATGCAAAGAAATATATAGGTAAATCAGATTTGAATCTGTCAATCACAGCAGTGTCCTTCTCATTCTCCCTCCCCCCCCACCCTCCAAACCCACAGCATTGCCAAAGTGGCTGATGTGAAACTGATAGAATTAAGTTCACTTACAGGAAGCCTGGCTGCAAAACAAAAAGAAATTTTGTCCCTGCCGCATCTATTTTTTTATTTTTATTCTGCATTTTGTAACAAACTCATGCAAGCGTAAAGGGGGTCGTGTTGGGGTTTTGTGTGTTGGGTTTTTTTAAACAGGCGTAAGAGTTGTGCAAGACAAAACTGAACAAACTTCTGTTTCACTTCAGAAAGGTTTTATATTACCAACTCATTTCTCTTCATAACTAAAGGTGATAAAAAATAAATCCATAGTAATAAAAAAAAACCCAAAACCCTGTAGTCAAACTGCTTTTTCAAGTATGTTTCTCCCCTCAAGAAAGAATTGCATTAGCCACACCACTGATTAAAACCCATGTCACAATCATTAGGATTTAGACCATAGGTCCAGATCTCCTGGAACTGGGCCCAGCTGGATCAGCAGCTGAGTTTACACAAGGCTGGAAGCACAAGGCTGGTGGGTACACACGCATGCATTACACCACTCCTCAACTCCCTGGTCCTGACTACATCCACTATCACACCCCCACCACATCCCTGAAACAGGAGAAATGGCACAGGAGCCACAAAGTGCTCTTGGACAGGTACCATTGTTCACTGATCAACCAGGTGCAGATCTGGTTTGTGCTGACCGAGATGCACTTTGCAGACCTACTAGACTGGAGAATTTTGCCCACAATTTTTCTACATAGCACAGCATAAAACACATCTTAGTATTTCATTCAGTCTGGAATTCACATCTGAATCTATTGCAATTACGGAAGTCAATGAAAAGTCAGTGAGAGGGGTTCTACAAGAGTTGGTCCCAGCATTAAACACTAATACACACGAAAAATAAAAGGGGGACGAACTTCCAAGTCACTATTAGTGACAGAGATAGGTTCAACTTTTCTTCCTTTCTCCTTAAATTCACCTCCCAGTAATGCAAGAGAAAAGTGCAACTTTGCAGCGCGTTTGTTCTCATCAAGTTTTTCCTCAAGAACACATTTTGTGGTAACAAAATATGGTCTATAAAGTCGCAAAGTGCACAAGCTGAAGGCACAGAGTACAAACACATAGGAAAACAGGTTTCAAAACACCAAGTAACAAAGAGTTAAAAGAAAAATCTGGAATTTAAAACTCCCTGACAGAAGATACATTTATATGGGACCAACTCTTAAAAGGTGACAATTTTTAAACTAATAAACAAATACTGCAAAATAATGTAACTTTATTCTTATTATTTAAGTGAAAGCTCCAGAAAATACCTTGAAGTTTAAAAACTAATACACTGACGTGTTAACTAGTTTTAAGAATGTCCTTAATATTAAGAAAAGAGTGCAAAAAAGATTCTTCCATTCTAATGCTTTTGGAAGCTGCTGATTTTGGCTGCCCGTTTTCACTCTGAAAGGACTGTTTTTCAAGGTGCATTCCTCACAAAAATCGCAGAACGTGAACTTGTTGATAGACCAGACCAAGGAATCATGTCTTTCAAAGTCATCCCAATTGTAGCAGCAACTGACATTTTTATTATATAAAGAAGGAAGTCCAAAACTCTTCTTTGAGGCATAGTTTGTGTCAGAGCTGGAGTATCAGCAGTTGCCAAAGGAGGCTCCAGATACCACCTGCGCTCCTCCAGTGTCTGTTCTGGCTAGGAATAGAAGCTGATCCAGTATATTCACTATCTGTATCCCCTGGAGCTTGCACAAGCTGATGAGCCATCTGAAATTACATAAAAAGTTCAAGAAATTCTCTCACGTTAAAATGCCACCTTATGTCCTTCGCCCCGCTTCCTCCAACAGCCCAAAAGCCAACACTGCCTGCAAAATGTGAACGGTGTGAACAGAAGCTGATACACCATGTAAACATCCATTCACTCATTTCAGGTTCTAGTAAGAGTTCATCATAAAACTGTATCACATTTTATTCTAGGAAATAAAGTGAAGATACTCAGGAAACTTGGTGGAAAGACCGCAATAAAATGAACCAAAGTTAACAACAGTACCAGAACAGATACTATTCCCTGCTCCCCAAGGCTATTTAATGACAATCAGGACCTCGTACTTCCATCCTAACCTAGAATGTATGAAACTAGATCCCCTCCTGGCCAAATATTTAGTCAGCACAGAAGATGGGACCTTCGACTGACTGCACCCAAATTAGGGCTGTCTGGAGTAGAGCAACCAACTGAGAATGGAAATACCATTCCTCCCTGTGCCCCTTCCCCCCACTCCCTAATCTATACTGGGGGAAATTACGGGAATAACAACGTGAAGAACCTCACAGGTAAACATGCAGCAAGGGACTTCATCTACAAATGGAAGAGAACCTCCCTGCTGCACGACTCCCATGTTTGTAGCCACATACTGCCTTTAGTATCTCAAGGCAGGTGGATCCTGGGTTGTGTTAGACACGTAACTGAGGATTCCAAGTTGAGAAGCACAACCCCTCCAAATACTCCAGTCTGTCAACAGACAGCAACACACATCACCAGTGGGAGATTTATATCAGAAGCAGACTGGGTCATCGTTTCATTGCCTGTTATGTGTATCCTGACCAGGCAGAGAGTTGGGACAACTACATTGGTTTTCCTCAAGACCTCAGCTTCCACTTAAATGGGATATTCTACCTTACAGGTAGCTGTGGACTCTAGCACAGTTAGCCAGGCTCTAGATCCAAGGAGTGTGTATCATTACTTAGAATGGTAAAGGTTACACTGGCAGGCAGCTAGCTACATGTGGAGATGCAACCTCTGACACCTCACCACCCCTGAGGACCCAGAAGTCCCCCATTACCTGTGTGCCCAACCCATCAGGGACCGCAGCAGACTATAGGGTAGGGTTAGATGCATACTTACTGTAAGTTAACTCTTCTCCAGCTCTCTTGCGTGACTGGTCACCTCTAGGAAACAAAGGGAAGAAAGGTATTTTCATGATAACCTGAACTAATTGAAGATGTCCCTGCACACTGCAGAAGGGTTGGACTAGACGACCTTTAAAGGTCCCTACCAACCCAAAACATTCTGTGATTTTAAAAAGGGAAAACAACAGTGAAATGCCTCAGCACAATCACCAACTTTTAGACTTCAGAAACAAAATGCAAACACAGCAGCAATAACACATGACTACAGGATTCTCAATTTACTAGAACAGGAGTATAAGCTATATTTCACGGATTTAATTATCTCATCCTTTTGATAAAGACAGTAGGCTTGATTTCATAGGATAATTTTTTATGAAATGAAGATGAAGAAAATTGCTTATATGCAGTGCGGTCTTAAGTCACGCATAAAATTGTTTTCCTTAATTCAAACTCCTCAACCAAACTTTATAGAACTATGGGGAAAATTCTGCATCTATCAGCCTAAAAAGGTAGGATGCTCCTGAAAATCCAACAATCAGACTCTAAGCAAGTCTGAGCTGACAGCACTCCCTCTTCAAGCAGAAGATTTAAATAATTAAAATTGTACAAATACTAGTTGACGTCACTGCTCCTGAACCGTAAGTCAAATTCTCATCTATTCGGAAAAATATTTTTTCCTTTTATTCTTGTGCACACAAACTCTTAAAGCTGGAAAAGCTTGCTGCTTCACAAGTTTCTTGTGATGATAGATATGTTATTGAAACTGTTACAGAAAGAAGACAGATTCAATATATTTTCATCACAGTGGTTATAATTTCATATTTATCTGCTGGAAGTTGGTAGAAATTGGGGTGTTTTTTTCTAATAACATGAAGTGTTCTTCCCTGAAACCACTCTTAAGGTGATGGACCTGCTGTTTATGCCTTGATTAAGGTCTTTCACAAGAGAAATACCACAAAACAACTGGCTTGTGTTCCTACTTTCTGCGACAATAGTATTTAATCGTGTTGATAAGCGGACTATTTCAACTAGAACCTGACATGCTATTAACGCTGATGAAGACACCTCACTGTGCTGTGTTCCTCATTGTTATTGCTGCAGGAAGTGCAAAACTATCACTGGTTTTTGGCACAATTATAGAACAGATGACATTTCATGCTAACCCAGAAGAGAACAGACTGGGCACACTCCTTGATAAAAGAGAAAAACAACCCTCTTATACAAATAAACATGTACATCTATATGTGTAGGAATATAACCTCAGAACAATTCTGAAAGGTTGCAAATAAATATAACCTATATTCCTGAACATAGGAAGAAGCATATTACGTCTTGAAATACATTTCAAGGCAAAATGCAGTTCAAATACCATGGCAAACCGCCATGTAGCAAATTATACCATCAGTACCTCAGTTTTCTTTTAGTGATGACAGACTCTAACACTTTTATCACCTTCATGTTTAGCAGACTGCACTGACTCCCCAGCAGAACAACCATATAAAATACATTGTGCAAAACATATTCATCAGAGACTAAATGCCATCAATCAGTACTCCACTGTGAAGTTTTATTTTGCATTTTTATTTAATAAATCGAAAGCAAGCTACATCGAAACAGCAGTTGCACAGAGGCATGGGCTAGGGTGGGCCAATTTTCTAAACCTACAAGGCATACCACAACTCTTCACATGTCCAATACCCAGAAGATCCCGTACTGTAGAAAGCTGAAAGGAAGAGGAACTCTTAGAAATTAGATTCTGCAAACACTGTGTGGCACAGAAACCTTCACTTAGTCCTTCGTATGACTGTCCTCAAGCCCCCATCTCTTCCTTGTCCCCACCTATCACAGAGGACAAAAACAGTTTCCTATGGATGTGCTTTGGTTCCAGTGCTAGAGAATTACTTTTCTGCATAAAATAGGAGTTGCTAAAATATATTCTGAGGATCCCAGTGGTCACTACCCTTCCCAATACCCTTCCTGGCCTTTTATGCTGTAACCCTTCTCACAGTATCTGCTAAAGAACTTCACAGCCAAGCTGATATGCCTGTCTTATTTTCAGGCACCTACGGAAATATGGGTTTGAAACCAACTGTTTTTGTGGATATGGACTGTTACTACTTGAAATTTCATTTTAAATTCTCTGTGAAGTGTGAAACTGGTGAAATGCAGTTGTAAGCAGAACTATTACAAGCCACCTAAAGAATTAGTAAGATTGAAAGTTAGACAAAACTAAGATGTTCCTGTTTTTGTTTCATTCTGCGCACTGCACTTTTTTGTCAGCATTATATGCCTACTCAGTTTCAACATCTCAGACTTCTATTTCTTGGGCCAAATGCACTGCTTTTCTCAGTCCAAGCTCTTATGGCCTTGTTTTTAGTGTCTTAAGTCACGCGTATCTATGACAAAATTATTTTCCTCAACAGAAAGCCTTACAAGGAGTGACTACAGTACAATTTGCATTCAAGTCAGTAGTAGAGTTCTAAAGCTCAATAATTTACCAAGCTTTGAAGAGAGAGACTCAAGGAAAACTACCTCAGAGTACAAAATCCAGGATCACATCAGACACTAAACACATTCACATCTAGTGGGTGTTCAAACTACAGGACCCGATTCTCAGCACTGCACAGGCACCAGGAAAGATGAAGATATATTCGCTTCATGCAGAAACGATCCTCTCAGGAATAGAGCATGACAGCTTCCCCAGCCTGATCTTGGTTTGTCCTACTACTGCAAAAGCGGTACACTGCTGCGGTGGGAGCGCTGTGCTTCTCTCTAGGCAGTGACATAGAACACCACAGAGCAACAGGCACAGCCCAGAGTGAACAACAGAGGTTATGGACATTCTCCGCTGTCTCTTTTAGTGTTTGTTCTTTCCCACCTCCCGCCCCAATTCAACATTCAGAAGAGAAATGCCTACTTAAAATAAACACCTTGACTATATAAATAGCTCTGAAAGTGGAATGAAGAGAAGTCAGCCACTGACATTTTCAGAAGCATCATGAAAAAAAGGCAGCTTACAGAAAATAAACGGCCAAAGTAAAGGCTGAACAAGAGCCTGATCACGCATTAGAAGCGCAGTCAAAACACAGGGAGGCATGAACTGTAAGCGATCTGTTTCACAAAGATATTTCACTACTTTGGTCATCTACTTTTTGTTCCCATCTGCAAGGTCGGTAGTGCTCAGAACACGTGGAAAATAAGGCCCTATTTCAGATAACAAGTTGTGACGGTTCTTTATTAACTCTTAAATTATTTCTTCAATACTTTTCAGGTGCATCCATTTTTACCATTTCAGCACTGTCCAGCACAATTACTACTGAAGACTAAGAATTATTACCTCGTAAATCCATTCTGCATAAGCTCTCTTTGAAGTTTCTGGTCTTGAGCAGCATATTCCTGAAGCTCAGATTCCACAGCAGGGGGCAGAATATTTGGGATGAATTTAGAAAATAAAGCTGGTGCCATCTGTACCCATTCTGTAATAAGAGTAAAAACAACAATAAAATACGTGGAAGAGATCTTTTGTGAAAATTTTACTCTTTGACAAATGTAACTTTGCTCTACTTCAAATACATTTTAGGATTTGGAATTTAAATTAAAAAAAAAAAACAACAAAAACCAAACCCCAAGCCCACAGAAACCAAGCCTTAAAGCAGAACAAATAATCAGCCAGTTAAAAATCAGAGATTTACATGTAGATAAAGGAATTACTATTTGTTTTGGTTACCAACCTCATCATCAAATTGAAATTGAGCTCTTGCTGCATCTCACAGGGCCTGTTGAGTCTCTGGACACTGACACATCAGGCACTGATGATCAGCAAACTCACCTTGATAATTAGATCATGTGTAAGACTTTACTCCAGGAAGAGTATTCACAAAATTTACACCTCTCTTCCCTGAGCCTTACTTCTAAGAAAGCACAGTAATATCACTGTACAACCCTGCTTCTCCATCCCCCATTTCAAATGAAATAACGCAATTCTCTCACTGATCTTCAAAAGCTTAGATGAACACTTTTTAAAGTTCATTATATAATTTGACCCTGTATTAGTTTAGCTTCAAGATAGACATGTGATTTAATTTCACTACACTGAAAACTGCCTCACAGAAGAAAGACAGTTTACCTTAAAGCTGCTTGAAGGCTGATGGTAAGAAACACAGAAGACTGAGCAAAAGATGAAAGCTGGGTTTCTAGCAACTCTATAAGAAGTTCTAAAAAATAAATACTTCTCAATTATTTCTGAAGCCAGACTTTTCAGAGGTTGCAGCAGGTATCTTAAACTTCATCTTTACTTGGAAAAAAGGGATGCTTTTAAATCTATTCAGTAAGGCACTTCATGAGTTTTTAATCCAACTCCCACATATGGTTACTTGGTCCATGCCAAGCTTCAACAGTCTTTAATCAGCAAACTCACTAAATAATCATTATCTAGCCCACAGGTGGTTTAAACAAAAAACAACACACTACCCTCCTTCATCATAGAGTCACAGAACCATTTAGTTTGGAAAAGACCTTTAAGGTCACTGTGTCCAACCGTTACCCTAACACCACGAGTCCGCCACTAAACCACATCCAGAAGTGGCCGATCTACACGTCTTTTAAATACCTCCAGAGATGGTGACCCCACCACCGCCCTGGGCAGCCTATTCCAGTGCTTGACCACTCTTTCAGTAAAGAAATTTTTCCTAATGTCCCATCTCAACCTCCCCTGGCACAACTTGAGGCTGTTTCCTCTTG